GCTTCCTGGCCACCAGCTCTCAGTCCCTCTCTTTCCATGAATCTAGAGTCCTCAGCTGCTCCCTCTCTCCATGTCCCCATCTCTGCCTCCATCTCTAATGTCGCAGCTTCTCTGGATAAGGTCCCGCATTCCGCTTGCGCTCTTCTCCCTTGATGGTCCTAGAGTCCTGCTGCGTATATTTTCAATCACAACAACAAAAAAGACAATAAAACCCTGGCGGCATCACAGGTTAAGCACTGGATTGTGAACCACAAGGTTGGTAGTTCAAACTCACCAGTGGCACTGAGGGAGAAAGGTGCTCCTATAAACATCTGCAGTCTCTGGAGCCCTCAAGAGCAGTTCCACTCTATCCTACCAGGTGCTATGAGTTGAAATGAATTTGACGACATCATTGGGTTTGGTGTTTTGTTTATGGTAACAGAGTGTTTAACAAACATTGCCCTTGACTCTGTTGGGCATCTATTCCTGCCCTGAAGTCATTCTAACCCAGGAAGATTGCAGTGCGGATTTCTGGAAATGTCACTTCTAGAACCATTTCCTGGGTCTTTCCTTCTTCCTTCATTCAGCAGGTCTTTGTTAAGCCGTTTCTGGGTGAGGGAAGAAGGGTGAGGCAATGACAAATAATGTCTTCCAGCCTGGAGTGTAATGGTGGAGCTCGAGTGCAGGCAGGTGATGATGGGAGGAGACGTGAGCTGTAGAGACATGCTGCCAGGGCTCTCCAGTGCTCCCCAGGGCTGCTGTGTGCACAGAGCGTCTTGTTACTCCTCAGTGCTCCCCAGTGCTCCCCAGGGCTGCGGTGTTCACAGAGCTCCTTGTTACTCCCCGGTGCTCCCCAGTGCTGCAGTGTACAGAGAGTGTCTTGTTACTCCTTGGTGCTCCTCAGTGCTCCCCAGGGCTGCAGTGTACACAGAGCTCCTTGTTACTCCCTGATGCTTCCCAGTGCTCCCCAGGGCTGCAGTGTACAGAGTGTCTTGTTACTCTCTGGTGCTCCCCAGTGCTCCCCAGGGCTGCGGTGTGCAGAGTAACGTGCAGAGAACTCCTTGTTACTCCCTGATGCTCCCCAGTGCTCCCCAGGGCTGTGGTGTGCAGAGAATTCCTTGTTACTCCCTGGTGCTCCTCAGTGCTCCCCAGGGCTGCAGTGTACACAGAGCTCCTTGTTACTCCCTGATGCTCCCCAGTGCTCCCCAGGGCTGCAGTGTACAGAGAGTGTCTTGTTACTCTCTGATGCTCCCCCGTGCTGTGGTGTGCAGAGAGCTCCTTGTTACTCCCTGGTGCTCCCCAGTGCTCCCCAGGGCTGCGGTGTGCAGAGAACTCCTTGTTACTCCCAGATGCTCTCCAGTGCTCCCCAGGGATGTGGTGTACACAGAGCTCCTTGTTACTCCCTGATGCTCCCCAGGGCTGCGGTGTGCAGAGAGATCCTTGTTACTCCTCAATGCTCCTCAATGCTCCCCAGGGCTGTGGTGTGCAGAGAGCTCCTTGTTACTCCCCAGTACTCCCCAGGTGTTCCCCAGGGCTGTGATGTGCAGAGCTCCTTGAGGTCAGCAGTTCAGTCCCACCAGCCGGTCTCGGGGTCTCTATGAGTCAGAACCGACACGACAGCACACAGCAGGAACAGCAGCCAGCAAGCCTTGGTGTTCCTTCGCTCATAGCTGGGTCCTCAGGCGGGGTCTTTCTTCCCTCAGTGTGTCTGTCTCTTGGAGAGGTGACTAGGCGTAGAGACCACCCTACATCTTCAGTGGACACAGCCCAAGAAGCTCTCCTTTTCCAAATTCGTGCCTATTTACTGGGACTGTTTTAAAGTGCCACTGAGCTGTTTCTAATTTAGAACGAGTCTGTATAGGGTTTCTCACTAGTGCCTAGTGGGTTTGAACCACTGACCTTGTGCTTATCCTATAGTGCCACACCAGGACACCATATACACAGTGGTTAGGGCTTTCGTATCTTATGAGAGGACACATTTTAATCGATACCAGAAGCTAAAGTATGTCTAGTGAGAACTGGGAAGACACTATAAACACATATTTGACAAGGTTCTTCCTTCCACCTGTGAGAGTCATTATTCTGAATTGCTGTGGTCTTTTAGCAACGATTGGCCCAGATGCTGTTCTGGGGACAGCAAGGTGTGGCCAAGAACCCGGAGGCAGCGATTGAGTGGTACGCCAAGGGTGCGCTGGAGACCGAGGACCCTGCGTTAATATATGACTACGCCATTGTGTTATTCAAGGTAAGACTCCCTTAGTTGGTGCTGGAATTGTTCAGTTCTGATCTGACTTCCTGAGCAGTGTGCTGTAGGCAGGCAGGCAAATAGGCAGTCTATAATTTCAAAAACATAGTTCATGCTCTATCACTCTTGATGGATTGGATAGTTGCTAAGAAGGCATAGTCAGATGTATGTCCCCAGAATCGTTTTTAATCATTGTTCCTGAGCGTGGCTCCTGTATTCTTCCTGCTGTTGAAAGAAGTTTGCATTCTGGAAGAGACATCACATCTGGATTGGTTCTGGGATGTTGTCATCCCCCAAAGACGCTGCAAGTTCCCCCACCACTGACAGAGTCTCTATCAAAGCACCTCTTAAAGTAGATGCTTGGGCTGGGCCCCAACACTGTTGTTGATCAAGATCAAAGTAAAAGATCTTGGTTGCATGAATCCCCGAAACTATTGCCCTGAGATCATCTTGAACTTTAAACCTTAAAACTATCCCCTCAAATCTTCTTTGAACCAAAAAGAAATCGCTTATCTCAATTGGTAAGTATGTCTGCTTGGAGCACTGTCCTCTTTTAAAGCATTGCCTAAGGAGATAAATTGACAATGGCAATTCCAGAGGCTAGGTGGGAAGCTGAGGGGGCAGTGAGTTTCTGTGAATGGTGAGGTGATAATTTGGAAACATAGTGAGACTGGTAGGTAGCACACCTTGAAGAGTGTACGCAGTATCACGGAACTGTAGGAATGGTTGAAGCGGTGTCTCTTTGATGTGATACGTTGCCAAAATATCAAAGATCTTGGTTGAAGCCAATGAGAGAATTAGTAAAGGCTGGCAAGATCTTTGACCCAGGAGACAGAGGATGGGACTTAAAGTCCTACCTGTGCACCATCAGCTGGGTATCCTTGGAGCCATCTGCTCTTTTACAGCAGTGGTCGTGGCCTCAGATTAAATGAGGTAACATCAACACATGGGCTTTGACAACTACAAAAGGCTACACTTTGTGCAAAATGGTGGCCATTCATCCTTACTGAATGGGCAGTCCTATTGTGTACTTCATATGCATTAGCTCCACAGGAGCGAGGTGCCTTAGTGAATTATGGTCCCTACTTATGTAAATGGAAACAGAGCTACAGGCAGGCTTTGTAACTTGCCCAAGGTCGCACAACTGATAAATATCAGACCTGTGATCCAGGCAGTCTGGCTTCAGGATCTAGTCGCTTCACCCCAAAACACCCAACCCATTTGCCAAGGTATCGATTCCTACTCACAGTGACCCTATGTGGGATTTCCAAGACTGAAACTCTTTATGGGAGCAGAAAGCCTCCTCTCTCTCCTGTGGAGTGGTTTGTGGATTCAAATCGCTGATCTTGCAGTTCATAGCCCAAGGTGTAACCTACTCTGTGCTACCAGGGAAGCACAGAGGTGTAAATTCACCAGTCTCAGAAAAGGAAAATTCTGTTGGCTCTAGGACTCTTGTGTGTGATTCTTACTCTGGTGGTTAGGTGCCTGTCCTCTCCACTGATCATCTCGGTCCCCTGCCTTCTCTATTATCCTAAGATGAAGAACGACCCCCTCAATTGCCATTGATTTGAAAAGGGCTCATGTAGTCCCTCTAGGACGAAATGGAACTGCCCCATAGGATTTCCAAGACTGAAATCTATTTTAAACTTTTTATTGTGACTTTAGTGAAGCTTTATAGAGCAGATCATCGGTTTTACATTCAACAAATCATATACTTTGCTTCATTCAATGATTGCGATCCCCTCCATGGAACAATGGTCCTGATTTCCATTCCGACTTCCTTCCCAACCCTTCTGGGCTTTGTCCTTGGGTAAACGTTGCCCTTCTGATCTTAACTGGATGACCATTCCATGGTGAGCGTATCTTATTAGCATTGTAGTCCCCTATATACCTCTCTACTGCTTGACTGAAACTTGGGCCACAAGAGTGAGATCTGTTTCAGACCCAAAGGATGGTTGAGGGCCATAGTCTTGGGTTCCTTCAGGCTCTTTCTGACCATTAAGCCCAGACTTTGTTTTTGAGTTTTGTTTCACATTTTCTCCTACTCTATTTGGGACCTTCTAATGTGATTCCTTTCAGAACAGTTAGTTGATAGTGGCAGCAGACATCATCTAATGCTTCTATTCTCAGACTTGTGGAGACTGATGTTCACATGTTCCATTAGTCGTTGGACTAACTGATTCTAAGCATTTTCAGTTTTCATCACTCTTCTTTCTTCTGCACATGGAGAGACCAATAGTTGCACCTTAGATGGCTGTTCACGAACTTTTAAGATCCCCGTATAATATAGAACATTGTCTTTATGGACTATGTTATGCCAGTTGGCCATGGTGTCCCCTGAGACTATGGTTCTGAACCCCAGACGCAGCAATTCATTGCCCCAAGGTGTTGGGTAATGTCTAAGAAGTTTTCATCATTTTGCCCACTGTATGCTCCACCAGGGAGTCCTGGTGTGGTTCTGTAGTATAAACACTGGGCTGCTAACCATGAAGTCAGTGGTTCAAACCCACCAGCCGCTTCTCAGAAACTCTGTACAGGGTCATTATGAGTTGGAACTATCTCCTCAGCACTTAACAACAACATGCTCCACCACATTTATAGGTATGTTTTCAGCAAAAGCAAATATCCATGCACAAATATGCTCTGTCAGACCCTTATAATTTGTGGGTCTATTCTCTCTCCCTCCCATTCAGCCTGTGCATGTGTCCATGGATCCACCCAGAGATCACTGTGATTGCAGGCTGTATGTATATGTCATAGTATTGATTTCTGTCCTCTATAACACATGCATTTCTTCCCGTGTCTTCATCATTCTGCCAGCCTGCCTCTCATTACCTTCTCTGTCACCTGAGTTAATACGTGTCTACCCTGTACCTGGTGTGGCACTGTGGGTTAATGTGCTAGACTGCAAGGCTGGTTTGAACCGAACCACAAGGTCAGTGGTTCAAGCTCACCAGTCGCTCCTTGGAAACCCTATACAAGGTTGCTATAGGTCCAAACCAACTCGATGGTCCTCAACAACAGCAACAACCCTCTAACCAGTGAATGACTCTCCCTTCTGTCCCATCCCTGGTAACCATCAAAGAATGGTGTCTCTTTTAGCATGGAAATGTTTTCTTGACTTTTTACAATAATTGTTGTTGTTAAGTGCCATCGAGTCGATTCCAACCCATAGCGACCCTGCATAGGATTTCCAAGGAGAAGCTGGTGAGCTTGAACTACCAACTTTGCAGTTCAAATGACTTTGCAGTCTGATGTATTAGCCCCACAGCGCCACACCAGGACTCTCATACAATATTTGTCGTTTCAATTCCACTCAGCATAATGGCCTCCAGGTTCATCCATAGTGTGAAGTGTTTCACAGATTCATCATTTTTCTTCATTGTGGCATAGTATTTCTTTTCTTTTTAACGTTTTATTGGGAACTGAGTGAAGCTTTACAGAGCAGATCATCAGTGTTACAGTTAACAGATCACATACTTAGCTTCATTACAATGATTGCATTTCCTTCCCTGTACCAACAGTTCACAGTGTTTACCTCTCGTCACGTTAATATTACATTCCCTGTGTCTCCCACTATCTTCATCTTTCCTCCTCCTTCTTGTTGTATGTTCCCTGCCGTGCCACCTATGTTGACATGTGTCTACTCTCTATCCCGTGTATAAGTTTCTCTCCCTCAACACCCATAACTATCATCAATTCTTTTTTTTTTTTTTTTACTTTCAACCAATCATAAGCTTTGTTGCATTTCATTGATTACACTGTGGTAGCATAGTGGTTATGAATCAGGCTGCGAACCTCAAGGTCAGCAGTGCAAAACTACCAGCTGTTCCATGGGAGAAAGATGAGGCTTTCTGCTCTTGGAAACCCTGTACAGGGTCGCTGTGAGTCAGAACCAACTCCACGGCACATAACCAACCAACCAACCCCGTAACAAGAGTTACCCTACTTCCCTGCTTCCATGGTTTGGCTTCCCTTTTACATCTTATTTTTCACAAATTAACAAAGCAAAAATATTTGACATGCATATACAAAACCCACAGCACCACACCAGGACTCCGCTGTGGGTTAATGCGCCAGACTCCAAGGCTGTTTAACTGCAAGGAGCGGAAAGCTTCATCTCTGTCACACAGAGGGCCTGGTGGATTCGAGCTGCTGATCGTGGGGTTCACAGCCAGATTCTTAACCACTATACTACCAGGCCTTCCACCTTCAAGATGGCGGATCGGGTAGAAGTGTAGTGAGGAGCTCGGTCAACAACAACACAGAATACTGGGCCAAGAGGACTCATGAGATGGTGTTGGAACTCTGGAACAAATATAAAGGTATGTTTGGAGGATCGGAGGGTTTATAGCTGGGGAATTTGCAGGAGAATCCAGAAATCCATTATTTTCTGGATCAAGACACTCAGCTGTTCCAGGAGCCGCCATCTTGGGAGAGCGTATCTTGATTGTATCAGGATTGATAGGATTAGGAGAGAACATCTTGA